CCCCACTGCTCTTCATCCCAGGCTGACATAGCTGAAGATTCCTCAAGCGACATCTTTTGATGTTGCTTATTATTATTTTTTACTTTTAACAGTGCAGTGGGTATAAAAGTTTTAAAAGAAAAGCATTCCCTTTAAAGAACGGCAAGAGTATATTCAAGGATATTGCAGGATTAACCCAAACGGAAAGAACATCAATTATACCTTCCTCACTGTGCTAGTGGTTTGAATCTTAGTGTTTCGGTTTTAAATAAGAAGTTAGCACTATGAGGTACGATCGGAAACATCACACCAACCACATAACCGTTAACTGTTCCTGCCCGTACTGTGAACAGGTGCACTCCAACTCGGTTCACATCTGCGCTGTGGTGGTAGAGTACGAGACCAAGACGGGTCGCATCAACAAGGGAGTGGCAACCAACTGGCTGAAAAACAAAGTGGTGACCGATAATGGCCACAAGTCCACAGTGCCCATGTACGTCAGGAAGTCCCAGTTCCGGCTGCCTTTCAAAGCCAGTAACCCGGTCATCATGATCGGCCCGGGCACTGGCATCGCGCCCTTCATCGGCTTCATTCAGGAGAGGGGCTGGCTGAAGGAGCAGGGTAAGTCTGGGGGCACTTCGGTGGGCATGCTGGGTATAACTGAGAGACACGAGGAGTCCTGGCTGAAACACAAGCATGCCTCTGCCGTGTGCTGTGCGGCATGTTGACTGGTCCTTGTGTGTGTGTGTGTAATTCATCTCATTTTCTTTTCTTGCCTATGGTGTTCGAAAAGCAACATGGTTCAACTGTATACAGTATGATATGGTCAAGAGAGCAGGTAAGAGCATTTGAGTTCGCACAGTGGCTGGTGTTGGTCTCTCCAGGAAGTCCACAGTGTGGTCCATGGGCAGTTGATTGCTTATGGCATTGCATCTGGCACGTGTTGTCGTAACGTAGTTACTAGTAACTGATTTTGTACTGGTAGATTTCTGCCTCTGGATTGCCTGCTCCCAGTCCAGATTGACTTGGCACTCATGTATAGATCATAAATTAAAGGGCTCGCAGAAGGTGCAGGAGGCCTTTTTTTTTTCCCTCAAACCCTAACAAACCCTTTTCTGTCATGACTTGATGTAATGTTGGAAATGGAATTGCTAAATGGTGTTAAAGATGTAATTGTAAGGTCTGATGGCCTTGTCGTCTCTGCAGGTAAGGAGGTGGGCGAGACCGTGCTTTATTATGGATGCCGCCACAAGAATGAGGACTTCTTGTACCAGGAGGAGCTGGAGGCGTTTGAGAAGGCCGGAGTGATTACTCAGCTCAATGTAGCCTTCTCACGGGATCAAGACCAGAAGGTAATAATTGTAATAATCACCTGCTCTAGGTTGAGCAATCCTTCACTTGTCGCGTGCTTTGTTCCCAATCTGGGCACATGCATACATTAATCGTTTCGATTTTGGTCTTTAACCCCTTAGGTGTATGTGCAGCATCTGTTGAAGGCAAACAAGGAACACTTGTGGAAACTGATTCACCATGAGAATGCGCACATCTACATCTGTGGGTAGGTGTCAGTGTTGTGTCAAACTGCTTGTTTGCTTGTTGCGTCGGACGCCATACAGCGTAGGAGAAGAGTCCAGTGTGACCGAAGTGAGAGGGTCAGATGTACTGCCTATGGCTGGACGCCGATTTAATGAATGCTGTGTTCTTGAATGAGGAGAGCACTAGCAGTACTCTAACGCCCGCACATGATTCCTCTCTAGGCCCTTTAGAGGAATCTATTTCAGTCTCCTGTTATCAGGAGAAAAGAGAGCTACAGAAACACTACAGTCAGACTTGTTGTCCTTGAGACTGGAGTTTAATTTGGCGTATAACACCTAAGGTTCTGAGTACCTAAACTGTTAAGCATGGATTCTTTTCCTCTCAGCCTTGCTGGTGACTTGAATCTGTTCATTTGCCTGAGACAGTACCCTTAAACATAGGAGAAGAGCTGAGCGGACATATTGTGCAGCAGGCTTTTGGTCTTCAGTTGTAATGTATTTGAGATCGATAGCATAGAGGTCTATTAGACCCCAACACACTGTGTTTCTAATCAAGTTAAGGAAGAAAGTAAGCTCACCTGCATGGCTTGCCCTGCTTTGAGGCCCTGACGTCTTACATATTCACCGGCTGCTTGCGCTCTTGAGAGTTTTGGCTCATGTTTCTTGTGCCCAGGGATGCCCGAAACATGGCCAGAGACGTGCAGAACACGTTCTACGAGATCGTGACGGAGCTGGGGAGCATGACTCACACCCAGGCCGTGGACTACATCAAGAAGCTGATGACCAAGGGCCGCTACTCCCAGGACGTGTGGAGCTAAGAGGAGGAGCAGTCAGTTCCTGCAGCGATTCCCAGCTCCGTTTTTTTTTCCAGGGACGTGTGAAAAGATTCTTGGTTGTAAAAGGTTATCCCCCTGCACAAAAGCAACAGAAGACGATTTTATTTTTAATTTTATGTCTAAACTGACCTTTAACCATGTGACAGCAAAGGGTCTGAAGAGTGGATACAGGCAAAGCAGTGGGCGGGCAATGAGTCTGAAACCACTGAGAATTCACCTCGGATTTGAGAAGGAAAAGGCATCTTAAATATCAATGAAAACCATATTATTGTAATATCTTTAATATGCAGAGAATCAAAGCAGCAATGGTCTGTAAACTGGAAACAAGAATAGGGAAATATGTAATGATTGTATGCAGTTAGTTTGACTGGAACTAACATTAGAGGTAAATTACCGCAGACTCAAGACTGTTTTTGTGAATGAAGATCGATCCAGCTGAAGATGGAGCTGAATTTTCTAGTGGAAGAAATGACAGTTTGCATGGAACATGCTGGTCTCAGAAAATCCTGAAATTAATCAAAATTAGCTTGTAACTTAAAGGGATTTTTAAGTAACTGGTTCACGTATAGAATACACTTATAGGTATGCATTATGAGTCAGATCTGATCCTCAGTGCCTGCTGCAACATGTTCAAATGTGATGCAGTGAAGAACAATGAGGAAAGTTGGACAGATGAGTTGTCGTCAAGTGTTTCTGTAGCCTTATCTCTCTTTGAGGAGACGGTCTTTGCATTTTAAATTGTAAAAGAAATGGCCAGGGGATGCCTTTTGCATCATGGTAGCTCTCTGTGTGCAATCTGTATACCGAAAAGTACTGTGCAGTAATAGGATTTATACTAACTGGCATTAGCTGTGTTTGCAAAGAAAGTTCCACACTTGATACCCAAGACAGGAAAGCTAGCATTATGCCATAGGCAGACTTCCTGACTCTTGCAGTGAATAGTCACTTTTCCTGTAGAAAATGTTGAAAGTAGCAGGCCACTTACAAACTTGAACTCTGCCTCCAGCAGCCAGTACAGTTCAGGAATCAGTGCACCTCGATGAAATATTATTTCTCCTTTAAAGTGATGACAAGACATTTAATCAAAAGGCATTTTAAAAATCAGTTATATTTTACAGCTTTTATATTTGTGTACTCCAGCCTGTAAAGCTTTAGGTGAGTGTGCTGCTGCTGTGTTGGAAACTGGGAAAATGTTTTCTATTTCCATAACAAATCCGGGACCCTATTCCTGGTTGGAGCACGACTGTGTGCGGAGTGTACAGATTCGTTCGTAGGGGAATGTAGATATGCGTGTCGGGAAGGAGGGGGCTCTCGAGGTTTCCTCTGCGGGTTCGAGCGGGAGTCTATGGCGGATGTCTGGGCAGAGTTGTGGCCGGTCTCCTGCAGGGTCGCGGAGAGAGGCGTGTGGCTCCTTCACCGGGGGGGAGGCTGCATGGCCTTAAACCACTAGACATCCGGACGTAAAACTGGTGATTCCAGACATGTATACCGGATTCCAAAGGGAATAGAGTTCGTTTTGCCTTTGCTCACAAACTTGGCTTTAATGCAAAATCACCAGTTTCTTTTTCCTCCCTCCATGATGAGGAGAAAAGTCAACTGGAGAGGAGTTGTGGAGGAAACTCGCTAATTTGTCAGCAGGATTTTGAGGAGAGTAAAAGCTTGCTGGCGGTGTGTTTCCGTGAAGGGAGAACGGAAAGATACACTTCAGAAAAGCAGAGCTGGATGACGCTGCCTATGTCTGCTACAGATACACCTGTGGTTCATGTGGGCATCATTCTTGGCTGCTTTACTGAGATAAGGTTCTGATTTTACCTGCTTGTATGATTTGTAATATCTGATAAAGGTGGCATTTAATTTGACGGTGTCGCACATCAATCTCAGCAGAAGTGCTAGCTATTACCAAGAGTTGGCTGGAGTTTCCCCATTCAAAGGTCCTATGCCATATGTTTTAAAGTAAATTTGACAACATGCTGTGATACCTTGTACTGTATTGAGCTGTAACCTTTGAATTTCCATTTTTTTGGCAAGATTTTGCATAGAAATGGTGATGGAACTGAAATGAAGGCAAGTTCATTTACCAAATACTGCCATCGATTCCATTATATTTGAATCTTAAAGAAAATGTTAACACATTTGGTATAGTTTGAAATACCCTGTAACCAAACACTCTGATGAAAGCATTTTCACACCGTGGAATATATTTTCTTTATCCAGATGTTTTCAACAGGTGGCACAGATGTGGGTTCTAATAAACTTTGTATCAATGGAAAGGCTCCCCACTTATTCCTCTCTGTTTTTCTTGGATTCCTTAACAAGAAACATTTAAGCGTTTTCAGAGTGACATTTTGCAAGTGAAAAGCCCTCTTGCAGTCTGAGGTCCTGGTTTCTGACTGTAACTATATAGGAAGAAGGTGGCTGCTGTACCAGGGCCTGTGTGTTTTGATATTGCTCATCAGTGCTTCTGGACTCAATGGCTTTCAATGATGCAGCCCTAATGTTAGTCACTTAACCTGACCATTAACAACAATTAATTTTTTGGAGTTAAACAATGGTTGTAACATGATGTCTTGTGTTCCTTTTGTCTAGTCGCGGCTTGATTACATTTTATATGCAATCGTTTTTTTTTAAACGTTATTAAAATAGAGATGAAAATTGTCATGGTTTGTTTTTAATTCTGGAGGGGCAGGGAGATTAAAACACACTGGTCCTGTCAGGCTCACTGCAGGTTTCCCCACAGTCGCTCTCTAGAGCTGCTTTAACTTCCCCTGCGTCTAACCTGGCGACAGTGGGTCTGCACCACCCTGTTACACCTTTGGATGAGCGCCTGAACCCCAAAATCAGAACCTCATTCATAATCGGTCTTACAAAACCCGTCTCTTGCACTGCTCGTGCCTTTCAGTCCTCAAACTGAAAACATTTTTCAAAGCACATCTTCACAAGATGGGTGGTGTGGACACATGCCAGTGGTCTGGTCACTGACCTGGTTCACACAGCTGGGAAGGATTTCTAGTCCTTTGCTAAGTTGGCTGTGAAGTCTATGGGCAGAACAAGCTCATGTGAAGAATCGCAAGTGTCTCTCTCTCCCATTTTCAACAGCCAGCACTTTTCCCCCCCTCTAACTGAGGATGAGAGATTCCCCGGAGCTCTGCGTGTCCGCGGGGCTGGCCTGCTCTCCGCCGGCAGCTCGTTGCCATGGCTGCGCACGTCTGAGAGGGCTGCTCTGAATCGGAAAGGCTTGAGCTGCTGGAACTGGGTGGCTGGGAAGTGGAAAGGAACGGTGATTTGTGTGCAATGAATACGGTGCTCAGGCCTAGATCTCAGTCAAACCCTGAGGTGTTAGAGATGGGCTGGGAACCTACGTCTTGGTGCTTGAGGGATTCTGGCGGCACAGTGACGTGGTGGTTAGCATTGGGTTAAGTTCAGAACCTGAGCTGCACTCTGCATGGAGTTTGCATGCTCCCTTTATCCAGTGCACTCCTTTATTAAGTGGCTCTTGCATGCTACAGCTTGCTGATGCACACAAGCAGCAACAGCACAAGGGCCCTAACTGAGTTCTGCTAGGAAGGGGAACATCCCAATATAGAGCATCTACTGTCTAGAGATCCAACAGCCCTTGACAATACTATGGAAGCAGGGACCCGTGTTACTTTTTATCCCTTTTATTGGCGAAATAAACTGAAGGAATAGCTGCACAGTAGCGGAGTGTCATTGATCTTTACAATGCAGCTGCTCCTGGTTTGCGATCAATGTAAGAAAATTACTATCTATACAAGACTGAGGAGTCAATTACAACAACCCTACCAGATGTAATTGTGCATTAACACAAGCGTAGAACAAGTATACAGACTTTGCTTTGAGACAGTGACATGTACCACTTACCCCCAAAACCACTTTGAAATATCACAAGCAATCTAATTATTTCAACAAGTGACCAAAGGTGTATCATTGCTGGAGTCCATCAACGAGCCTGTTTTTTTATTGAGCGAGAGTAAAGCCGTATCCACTGGCTCTAAGGATACCCTGTACTGTCATTCCACTCCTAATCCTCAGAGAGCGAAGGAAAAGGGTTGCAGTAAAGCTTGTACAGCATCATTTAAAAACACCAGCTTTACCCCAGTTCTGCAGTTTTTCTTTCTATAGTATGGACATGGCTCTTGGTGAACCCCAGCAACCACGTGCACACAAACCCAGCCCAGGATACAAGCCCAGTGGGATCGTTTTGTTTGAATCGGTTGATCTAAAAAGCATCACTGTGGTTCATAGTTTAGTTGTTCTTTCCTTTTGCCCCCAGCTTTCACATGTAGGCCGGGACACTCTTTTTCTTACAGTTCTTACAGTCAGGCACAGAACTGCATTTTCGTACAATTAAAAATGAGGCACACGTAAACAGCTTCTGGAGGTGAAACTTGCACAACAGCAGGATTGCAATGCATACGCTATGAAGTCCAAGTCCTCACTATGAGATGATCCGATAGGCTGTCTTTCAGATGGAGACCGATCTCGAGTTGTTAGTACGTATCCACTGGCCCCAGGACCTGCACTGAGACCAGAAGACCACACTGAATCGGGTGGAGCAACAGAGGGGCACGGATAGACACAGTAGCTGGAGCAGGACAGGTGTGCTGGAGTGTTTATTTCATCTCCTTCTACTGCTTTCATAGCCTCTTAGCTCTTCCCTGGCTCTTGTTCTGGAGCTTCTGGTAGACGACTCCCAGTGTGGTGCAGAAGTTCCCCAGGAAGAGGACCAAGAACGTAAAGCTGCACATAAGCACCTGAGGAAAGAGACAGTAGAGAGGGAAAGAGAGACTGAGGATGGGTCAGGAAAGCAAAGCATTAAAAAAAGCAGACTGGTCTATTACCAGTTGTGCGTATGTCCAGTAGTAGGGTTCACTGACCACATCCACCCTCTAAGATGGTCTGTAGAGCCACTAAGATGCTAACTGGACCCTGTGCTGCTTGTAATGAACTCTTATGGCACCGACTTGCTGTTGGTCTCAAATTATTTCTGCGATCACGCCGAACCCCACCAACACAGAAGAGAAAAGGTTCCTTTTCCTAAAATCGAACTTTTTAACTGAAGAATTATGGATTCCAGGAAATTTTCCAGGAAAGAACAAGAGGAAGGCAGGGACAGATGCCGAAATGAACCCCATTCCGACAGCGGGAGCTCACAGACGTGGGGGGGGATGAATGGAGCAGGTTGGGAAGAGGAGAGTCCGGCCACAAGAGCACCCACAGCACGGACTCGGGCATCTCGCCGCCCTGGGGACAGGAAACGGCTTGGCGCCTTAAAGATGAGTCTCCCCTTTTCTGTCACCTGTCTTACCTGCCCTAAACCCTGCTGGGCCAACTGCACGCCAGAGCTTGGACAATCCTCATCGCAGTCTGCGAAGGGCATCGGACTCAAACCCATAAGCTCAGGACTACAGGGCTCTGCTCCACTTCGGAACCCTGACCGAAATTCCCAAGGCACATAAAACACCAACCTGCCACTCTCGGCACTCTGGGAGCCGGGCCATCCAGAACAGGCAGAGTCCGTTGTACAGCTGCCAGAACTGCAACATGGGAGACAACAGCTGGTGGAACTTGCAGAGAACTCGGGCGTTTGACGGAAAATAAAACCCTCTGTGCAGTCGTAGGACTCAAAATCATTTTGAAATGGGTGAGTGTATGAAAAATAATAGTTTTTTTTGAAACTTGATCTTAATGATTAATGAACCCACTAACCCACAATTGCACTGCAATTCTTGGCACCCCCACAGAAGGTGACAGGCCTCGTATTCTCACACGGCTTCACACCTCGCACTTACATGACCAAAGAACAGGAAAGGGAGCAGGAAGGTCAGCCCTCTCCACATCCAAGACTGAAACCCCTCTGAAAGAGACAAGCAGGGACACGCTTTCTCAAGACAAGGTCTCCTCCACTTGGAGCTTCTGTTTTACTTGGGTGTTCCCCGGAACCCCGCGCTTACCCACAGTCAGGTCCATGTTGTGCCTCTCTCCCAGCGCCCTGAGCCGGTACAGGCAGCCGCTCTGGTAGTAGTACTGCAGGAACTGCACGAGGCCTGCAGCGCAAACACAGAACCGGACACCGGGCATGCAGGGAAAAACAATGACTGTCAATGCAGGTTTCATGTCTGTCGTAATTAGAGGGCTGCGGATTGCGTTTCCATGCTGCCGGGAAAAGAGTCTCCGAGAATGAAGGAGGGGAAAGAGAGGAGAGGAGAGATGCTCTCCAATCATGATTCCAGCTGAGGAGAGTCCTTGTATTTTGGAGATGTGCTCTGGGGTCTGCTGTTCCAGGGGGAATCATTAAGGGTTTTATGACACAGTTGAAAGTTAATTTTGCTGTGTAATCACTGGCAAGCAAACAGGACATTATTTCCCTTTAGTTTGGATAAGATAACATGGAGAAGTGATGGGCAGCGAATGGACTTACTCTTCCCCACAAAGCCTGTTCCCTGAGGCAAGGAGAATCACCTTATGCATTACCTCCCTTCTAGATCACCGGTGTGTCCCCATTAGGCTAGATCAGACGTTTCCCTTTCTCATCTAATAACACACTCCTGCACAGAAGACTTCAGAAATACCAAACTTATTCAGAAATAAGTGTGCTCTTCGTTCAGGGAGTGTCACCCAGATCTACACTGCCAACTGAAAGAGTGCGTTTTTGATGCAGCCCTTCTCTTGCTTCGCAGCTTTCGTGTCCCGGGTTCGATTCTAAACTGGAGAGCCTTCCGTGTGAAGCTTGCATGTTATGAGTGTGGGTTCTCTCCAAGCGCTCTGGTTTTCTTCCTCCTTCCAGAGACACGCTGGCTGGGTTAATCTGCGTCTCAATTGTCCCTATGTGTGTGTGTATAAGACAGCGCCCCCCCTTGCAGTACAACAAGCAGTACTGCATTCATTCTGAGGTATCATAGCAACTCAGGTCGTTTTTCCTGACAAAGTTATCATCCTGTTGTCACTTGACACTGATCACTGACACAGAGGACCACTGAACAATTCACACAGCAGAGTAAAGTCGCTACACCTGAAAAAAAAAAACTCAGAAAAAGATCAGTCGAAGACAGGCAGCTTAACCACCCCAGGGTGCTGTTCGTCTCTGTCCAACACAGGCGAGCTCTCGACTTACTCTGGTACAGGGAGTAGGCGAGGAACTGGTTCCTGAACATCTGGTACAGCTTCCCATCAGGCCTGGTGGGCAGGAAAGACAAGTCAGTGAACCGGACAGGCAGCTGGAGGCCGCTTCAGCGTGGATTACGACATGGAAATTAACAAGAATGGCAAACACTGCGGTTGTGTACATATGTATATAACTAAGTTATTGATGCAATTCATCGGAACATTTCATTATTTTTCAGAAACTGTCCTTCAAAGCGCCTCTTGTATGTCTAGAGCACACAAGACGAGAGGCTGATAAGTAGGGAAAGGAAGACTGCGAACGAGAGCAGGGCATCCGGCCCATCTGAGCTCAGGCGACTGAACGGAGGAATCTGTCCAACCAGTTCCCAAAGCAGCCAAGGTATCAGTTTCAACAGCGTGGCTGAGCAGTTTGCTCCACACTCCCACCGCCCCCCGTGTGAAGCTCTGCTCTCCGCTGTTACGGATGGGTGCACCGGAGCAGGCTGCTGCAGACGGGCCGCTGGTGCGTCTCGCTGAGGAGGGACTCACCAGGTCAGCATGACTCCCGAGAGGAAGGTGGACACGTAGTGATGGAACACCCACCAGCCCTTGATCCTGCCAGGACAAAAGGCACAACAGGCGCAGAGGCCAGAGTCACAGCCCGCACGCACGAAAGCCTAAAACCCGTCTGAATTAGGGTGGCTGCTTCTTAAACCAGGTCCTTTATTTCACGTGCACCGTCATGTCAAAACAAGAGCTAAATTCAAACCCACACGTTTGTGAGGACAGGAACGATGGACGAGAACCACATCTGGCAAGACTTCCAGCAGGAAACGTCTCGCTGCCACACAACAAACACCCCCCACTCCAGGGAACATCTGGAGCCCTGGAACACAGCTGCTGCACATCTACTCAGCAACGACTCAGTGAGCAGAGAGCAGACACAGGGAGGGCTTCTGCACGCTGGGAGCTGGCCCAGAGCACAGGCCTCACTTCTCTCACCCGGGGTGCAGAGGGCCACGTCTCCGAGGCCACCCTCTGGAGCTGGGACTGGGGCTCCCCTCGGCTGTAGCACAGAACTGGGGCCGGCTGGGCCTCGCCGGGCGTCAGCGAGAGACACCAGGCCCCTGCATCCACCAGCCCACCGACGGTGGAGAGGGGCAAGGCGGTGCAGAATGACAACCGCTCAGCGATTTTACTTCAAACCAATTTTTTTTTGAATCCCTGGGTTTTACCGGGAGCTCAAACGAGCGGCACGCGGGACACTAACCGGGACCCGTTGTTGATGAGGATGCTCTCTCGGATGGTGAGCGTGCAGTAATACCACACCAGCAGGAAGTTGAAAAGAGAATCTACCGCCCTGCAAGGAAACGCACACAGAAGAAAACCTCAGGCGTCCGCAGACAAAGGGAAAACCTGCTCATGGCTACAGGGAGGCTGTACGTCGGCACTGAGCTCCAGTGTATCTGCAGGCTGCTTGTTTGAGCAGGCCCTGCAGAAGGCGATGCTCAGAGCCGGTACACCTACAGCGGCGTCCCCTGCCCACCCCCTGCAGACCGGAGCCCAGAACCCCCCAGCGGTCAGTCCTGTACCTGTTGCTGACCAGAAACCGGCAGGTAAAGGAGAACAGCAGCAGGAGGATGGTGAGGCACAGCTTAAACTTCTCGTACTCGTCCTTATAGGCAAACCTGGTGGGAGAGCAGACAGTGCAGCCTTAGCGCACACCAGTGACTTAATAGTATATCCTTAATGTACTATAGCATGAATAGCATCATAGTCAACTGTAAAGTGATATAGAAAATGTCTCAGACCCATATGTGGCGCATTAATTGACTCATGAGATAATTGGTGAAGGGCTCAGAGCCACATTTTCAGAGGGGTTTAGACTAAATTGGTATGAAACAGGCATGGCGGTAGTTGGTGTTGGGCTGGTTTAGGGTATGTCTTTGGGTGATGTACAGAGGAGCTTTTTTCCCCCCATGTGTTTTTTAACCACTTCATCCAATTGAGGGTCGCGGGGGAGCCAGAGTCTACACCAGAACAAGCCATGTGCTCGAGGCAGGGTACACCCTGCACAGGCAGCCAGTCCCTCACAGGGCACACACAGACACTCACACCAGGGCCAACGTTTCCGGAAGCCAATTAATTTACCGGCATGTCTTTGGGAACCCACATGGACACAGAGAGAACATACAAACTGCATGCAGACAGCAGCCCAGAAATCGAACCCAGGGCCCCAGCTCTGTGAAGCAGCACTGTCAACCACTGTGCCAGGTTTAACTTAACTAGAATTCTTCAAGCAAACAAGGACTTTTTTTAAGCATCTGCCTTTTATCAAATGCTTTCTGGAAATATCATAGAATTCCATATAATGAAAATTCTCAAACTAGAAGAACTGCAGCATCAAAGGTCATGAACACGGATTAAAAACCGATATCGTTCACAGGCTAGTTCAATTTGCAGACAGAAAACAAAAAAGTGGAGTGGCAAAACACAGAAATAGCAGCAAGGGGAGAACAAAGAGGCCGGCAAATCACATTTAACCACAACGGCATGGGGAAGCAATAAAAAACAGAACACTTGAATACAGCAAAGGGCGGAATTCATTTACACTGGAGAGCTCAAGCTTTCCCAAGAGTATAATGTGCTCAGTATGGGTCACAATTCCTTACACTTATATAGCACTTTTCTGGATAATCCATTCAAAACACTTTAGAGATAATGGCGATTCCCTCACACCACCAGTGTGTAGCCCCCACCTGGATGGATGATGCACCTGTACTCTCCCCACACACCAGCTCTCAGTGGGGAGGAGAGCAGAGTGATGAAGCCAGTTCAGAGAGGGGGATTATTAGGAGGCCATGATTAGTAAATGCCAAAGGGAAATTTGGCCAGGACACTGAGGTTACACCCCTACTGTTCTTGAGAAATGCCCTGGGATTTTTAATGACCACGGAGAGTCAAGACCTCGGTTTTATGTCTCATCCAAAGGACAGCGCCTGTTTACAATAAGGTGTCCCCGTCTGTCAAGAAATATCTATCAACATTTTAGATCCCCTTTGCTACTAAACTACCAAACAAACAAGATGGGCAGAAAGAGCTCCTCTTTGTAATAATTAAGCACACGAATGTTGATGCTCGTTATCCGAGAAATTCCACGGGTAGCTGGTTTTGAAAGTGGGGTTGTACTTCCCTCTAGTGGTCAATATCTGAACTGCTATTTTCACTGAACTTTGGTAAAAAGGACCAATTGAGTCACCAGATGCAATTAAATCACTACCTGGCTGCTCAGCTAGGAAGAGATGTAGACTACATCTCGTGGCTTTAGAGGAACAGGACTAGAGAATGAACAGTTCTATTTTAATAGTGTAAATATAATCAATTATGTAATAATGTAAATATAATCACTTTGGTCAAAAAAGGAACCCGCCTCTCTAGAAACATCTGCTCTCATTGTGAACGTTTTTTCTTACTGTGAAGTGCTTTAAGAAGCCACTTTTAAAGGCGCTTTAAAATAAAGTTTATTATCATTAAAATCATAATAAAACGCTCCCCTGCGAGCCTGAATTGGGAGAAGTAGATAGAAAACGGATGTTTAGACAGTAAGATATTTCTTTAAATGAGGTGATCAAACTTCTACCCAGTACCCTAATTGAGGCTGATCAATTAAACGGGTCTTTTATGTTGCATCTCAAGCCATGCCAATGCCCTTGGATTTGAGAAATCGCGACCAGATCGTGTTTAAATAAAGACCCACTAAGCACGCTGCACATAAAGAAGATAGACGAGCACTTACTTTGCCTGCTTGCTGAGCAGAGTGACATTCACGTTCCCGAGGACGAGACTGAGGTACAATCTGGAGAGACAGAGAGGAACACTGGTTTGTATCTTTCGGATGAAAGCTGGTAGTCTAACAGCAGCATTACCACCTGGTGGCCTGATGTCGTCGGGTCTCAGCCGGGCCGGGCCTGGTCAGGACTGGACTGGGAGACCTCGGAGGAAAGCCAGGTTGCTGCTGTCAGTAGTGTTGGTGGACCAGTAGGTGGCGATCTTCTCTCTGGACAAGAATTACTACACCACGTCTGGAGTGTGGTGACTGGTGACACTCTGCTGTAGGAGGTGCCATAATTCGGACGAGATGCTAAACTGAGGTCCTGATTCTTTGGTCATTAAAGATCCCGTGTCAGGATTTATAAGAACAAGGGTGTTAGGCCTGGGGTCCTGGTTCAGATCCACTCTGGGCTTGAACCTCTAGCTCTCCCTTAAACCAGCAGATGAAGCTATCACGCGCTTCTCCACCTCAGCCGGTAGGTTAATTGGCTGCTGGGAAATTTAGCCCCGGCGTGTGTGTGTCCCATCCAGAGTGTAGCCTGCCGTGTGTGTGTCCCATCCAGAGTGTAGCCTGCCGTGTGTCCCTTGCTTGCTGGGTTAGGCTCTGGCTCCCCGGCAAACCCTGAACTCTATAAAGTGGTGAGAAGATGGACAGGTGGATGACCATATAAAAAACACGTGGCGCTAGACAGCAGAAAGGCACAGGAGCCAAGAGGGGAAGCAGATCAAGGGGTCACCTGGAGCAGAAACTCCTGCGGCGTCAAGGTCTCACCCGTTCTTCTTCGGGAGGAAGGCCTCCATCTCAAAGAAGATGCCTGGTCGTTCCTTAATGAGCGCCTTGATCCCGTCGATGACACTGGCCTCCTCGGGAAGCACCCCGGCCCTGCATCTGAGACAGACAGGAAGAGCCGAGCACAGGGGAGAGCGAGCCCACGATTAGCAGGAGGACAGCGCGAGCTCGACTTGTTAGGCCTTCCAGTGTGTTCCCTGTGAGGAATCATTCTTAAACTGTTATAATGACCTTACCCATCAAAATCATCTTGTATATATACTCTGCAGCGGTGGGGGAATGGCTTAGCTACGCCGTTGGCTCAGGGATTAATGGGGTTTGAATGAGCAATGTCCAGGGTACTGAAGGAGCACTGCCGCCCTGTGGTGGGGACAGGAGGACAGCCCAGCGTGGGCACGAGCTCCGGTCAATACCTACTCGCTCAGCCCCTGGGACAGCTCCTTCAGCCTCTTCCTCTGCCGGGCGATGGAGGCCGAGCAGCTGGTCTGCAGCTTGGTCAGCTCGTCCAGCTTCTGCTTGTACAGGCGGTGCGTCTCCTGCAGGCCGGGCGGACACAGAAAAAGCTCAACTTTGCTGGACATCTAGAGTGGGGGTATCAAACTCAATTCCCGGATTGCTTCTGGTTTTCTGATTTTGTGGTCAAACTGTACAGTCAATTAAACCATTAACTTTGTTATCGTTAATTGGTGAAAAAAGGCACTTCAGTAAGAGCACAGTTGCCTTCAGCCCTGCTAGAAGTATTAACAACAACGCAGTTCATGAAATAATGAGACCAGGTAAGTAACCCACAGCTCAGGTGGAAGAGACGGTAGAAGACACCAGCCCTCCAGAATCCAGAGGGATCCAAATTAAACTTCAGTTACAGCAGGGGTGAGCCGCAGGATGCGCGTGCTTGAGACAGCAATAAATAATCCTAACAAGAAGCACAATGTGCAGTATGAAAACCTGCAGAAACATCTGTGCTACTGTGCCATACAGTATGAACAATATCCTTTCCTTCTTACACAACACACTGTTTTCGGAGGTGACAGTTTCTGATATCAGTAAAACAAATTATACAATACCAATATACCAATGCAAATGAGTTCAATTAAATATTCAGATAACTGTTATTTTTAACCTATTAACCTATAACCTATTAAAAGTAGGGTCGTGACAGGCACACGGGAAAAGATATTCCACGTACACAGCAGTGTAACTCAAAGCTCTTTACACTGCCTTCTGGAAAACATGCTTCTTGTACCGAGACTGTAGCCTAGGCGTTTGTGCATTAACATTTGAACTGAAACGTTTGTTTTTTTTTTAAAGATTAAACACCTTCGTCTATCAAGATCTTTTCCAGAACAAGGAGCTCGTACCCACAACAGGGACCTGGTCTCGGGCCTGTGACGTCACCGCCCCCCCGGGCGGGATCACCCCGCGCGCAGGTCCCTACACTGGCGCGCGCTTGCAAGCATCCTCTCAGAGTCGCTCGTCTTTTTGAACAGAACGGAAATAACTAAAGTTCGACAAATTAACTTGGCTGTCAGACGTTGCCTTTACTATATTTTGCATCACAGCGCCACGGTGCTGAAGACTGCGCAGGATCCCGTCTGGGGAAAGTTGGCAGAAGGGATGTTTCTCTGACAGGCACCTGTGATCAATCTGCCCTGATTTGATCGATGTCGGCAGAGCTCGATCATTTTAAAGTTGCATGGCGAATTTCGGTTAATTTTCTGTTAGGAGGGCAAAGGTTTCTATCGTACTGTGATTCACCGCGCATTCTGGGCTAAAGTTCAGTGCTGTAAAAGCCGAGTGGCAGCTCAGTCTCAGGCGCTGTTACCGGTGTGTTCTGTGCCGAGACGCCAGATTACAAAGCACCAAGCCTTTAGGTCAATACTCCGCCTGCACTCACTGCCCGCAGTGTTGCTCTATTTGTCTAAGGGTTATGAATGCGTACTCTTAACAACTAGAGATGGTCACACACAAGACTAAAACTGTTCTCCACATATAGGGCTTGTCCCAACCGTGACATTTCGCAAAGATCCTCGTAGAAAGGCTTGGCCTACATTGCGTAACAATGTACAATAATTTTGAAAAGGGCCAAATATTTCCTAATGTATTCGTTTCTGATTGACGTCAGCATGGCTTCCGCTCAACATCCCTGATTCCTCCAGGATATTGATCTACAAACCCATCGCAGGCGGCTCCATCCTCAGCCCACAGTACAAAACAGGAGTCAGTCGTAGACACCCGTGATTCCGGGCGCAAGAGCGCATTTGCTCGGTCTGAGCCTGTCTGTGGACAACCCGAACTAAGAAAAGTGAAACAACGGTGTGTCTTATTGAGCTGTTCACGCGTGCGGCTCACATCAGAACACCGTGCAACTGGTTGCCAGGCCGTCTTTAGCTGTACTGTCATATTATTTACGAAACTTGCTGCATCTCGGCGTTCAAGTGCAACACGTCCAAACCATCAGCCTCCTGTCTTTTACCGGCACGGAAGGCGCAGGCGACCGACAGCACGGGAAAAAGAGAGACACAGAGGAAGATGTTTCACCTGGACCTGCTGATAATCTTTCTCCAGATCCTCCCATTCTTGGAGACAGTCGCTGAACGTAGTGGGGCGGAGTGCCATGTTTGAAATAGATGAGCCAGGCTGATCTGGTCTGGTCTTAAAGCGCATTGACAGCGCTGTCACCCCGGGGCCCCGCCCCCTCCGACCCTCCGGCCAATCGGGAAGCGGGGGCGGTGCGACCGCGCGCTGGGGCTCCACGTGCGCACCAATGGCGGCTCGGCGTCCCCG